ATACTGTATCATGATGACTCACGAGTTCAGTATTTGCGTTAATTCTGTGCATATTTGGCTTAAATGAACTTGCCCAAGAAATAATGAGAGAACGTTATTTATGAAAAGTAAAATTGGCTAGTGATTTGACAGTAACCACAGCTGATTTTTACCCCCATTTGGCGGGTTGGCAGGTTTTAATTTCAAACCCTGTATATATAACACACAAACAATACAGAACTTTTGAAAAATATGTAATAAAAATCATAAAGATAAAGAATCAAAGTAAAAAAAACTAAAAACGTATATCACAGTAGAAAAAAACATCTAATGGCATCGCATCCCATGTATGTGCCAGCAAAAATAAATAAAATAAAAGATAATGAATAGATAAATAGATAGATAGATAGATAGATACATAGATAGATAGCATTTCAGTAATCATAAAAATGTACAATTTAGTCCATGTTCACCTGAGCAGGTACCTGAAAGTGCGACAGTAAGTGCTTTCCATTAACGTCAGTATCAAATGATAAACAGACACAACTACGCTGTCATTATTTGTCACTTTATGATGTAATTGTGGGGGTTTGATGATGATCACAATGAAACAGTGGGTTAGCGTCTCTTCTCTTCTGCTTGCTTCTATCCCCATTAATCTGATTCAGTGTTATTTTTATAGCAGGATGGAATGTGCGCAGCAGCATCAGCACTGCCTTACATGGTTTACTGTGGTGAAAGTGTGCGCTCGATTTCTCCTCCTCTCTTTTTTGTGTAGACAGTGGGCTCAGGGCCAGCAGGTGCCTGTGGGTAACTTCTGAACGGCAACAGCACAAGTCTGTGCCATAATTTATGGCACAGACTTGTGATCAACACTCCTATTAACTGAAAGGATTTGGTGGATAAGTATAGCGTTAAGGGAATAGTTCACCCCAAAAAAATGAAAATTAGCTGGAAATTTATTCTACCTCCAGCCATCCAAGATGTAAAAGAGTTTGTTTCTTCATGGGAACAGATTTGGAGAAATGTAGCATTATATCATTTGCTCACCAATGGATCCTCTGCAGTGAATGGGTGCCGTCAAAATGAGAGTCCAAACAGCTGATAAAAACATCACAAAAATCCACAAGTAATCCACACCACTCCAAACCATCAATTAATGTCTTGTGAAGCGAGAAGTTTGTGTGTTTAGAAACAAATCCATCATTAAGATGTTCCAAAATATGAATCTTCTTCCTCCAGTGAAAAAGTCCATCCCCTGTTGTCCTCTCACATCAAAATCCATGACATATTTATTTTGAACTGTTTTGGACTGTTTTCACTTAAACAGTGCTTGATCTGTGTATATTTCTCTTTTTATTCAGATGAGATGACTTTTTCTCTGGCGAACGCAATATTATGTATAAAACACTCATATTTTAGCTGGAAGCAAGTTGAAGTTGAAGTTTAAAATGCCTTATTGATGGATTTGTTTCTTATAAACAACTTTTCACGTCACAAAATGTTAACTGATGGACTGTAGTGGTGTGGATTACTTGTGGATTATTGTGATGTTTTTATCAGCTGTTTGGACTCTCATTTTGACGGCACCCATTCACTGCTGAGGATCCACTGGTGAGCAAGTGATGCAATGCTACATTTCTCCAAATCTGTTCAAATGAAGAAACAAACTCATGTACATCTTGGATGGCCTGAGGGTAAATTTTGAGCAAATTTGCATTTTTGGGTGAACTGTTACTTTCACTGATTGTAAGTTAAGGTGGTTTATAATTGTTTGATAGGAATGTTCTTCCTGGACCAACAATAGATGCCAAACCAAGAAAATCACAATAACCTCAGATCCCAGAATGACCCGACATGAGAACAAGACCACCAGAACACATATCCACTAAATACAGACTTCATCTACCCAACATGATGTGACCACACACTAAACAAGACCACCAGCACACATTGTGAACGTTTCAGAAACTTTTTGGTTGTGGCTACATGTAAACACTTGAATAAGACATCTTGCCTCACTTTGAGAAATCATAATGATTGCTAGTAAAACACAGAGCAGCCATAGAGATTACAGCAGTTATTGTAAGTCATTGCCGCAGGTCAAGCTCTGTTTCTCCTCCAGTGCTGCCGTGATGTGGTCAGAGAGCAGGTTCCTGGGGACGCTCTGTATAACCACATAAGGAGAGACGTCTCTGAAATACTGTGTAAACATTCAGATGGGCCTGTCTCTCCAGTGGGCCATGCTCTCATCTCTCTGTTTATTTCCATGTAAAAACACTACAGAATCACGTCAGAAAATAGCAGATGCAGTTACGATCAGTAAGATACTCTCACTGTCACATATGCTCGTATATGTCATTCTATGTGTTCTACAACTATGGGCTCTTTTCTAAAAAATTCTAAAATCAACCAAAAAGATCACATATTTTAACTTTTAAATACTATGTTCTATGCCTTAATCATCTACTTTTCATATATCCTGTCTGTTTACATTTGGTTGTTTTACACTTGTGCCAGAATTTCAGTCTTAAAATATTTATAAAATATCCATCATAAAGTATATAATATTTCATTTTTAAAGTTTGATCATCTAAACAAAGAGTCAAATAAACCATTTCAAAATGCATTGTGTGAAAATAGATTTATATCAAAAATTAGGACTGGCACTCATTTATGCCATCATTTCCAGTATGAGCAAAAGTACTACTTCAAAAGTAGTGTACTTTGTTACCAAAGAGACGATAGTTTCAGAGCTCGAAGGACATATTAGACAGGTGATATGAACATTTTTATTCAAGCCAATTTTGTCACATCTTGCAAAAAGAATGAAATATTACTTAGTTGTGTATATGTGTGATATAGTTATAAAATTAGCTTGATATAGGAGTCAGACATTTTGTTCAATAAGTAATTAAAAAATATCATTTCCATCACCATCCTTTCCCTCATGGAATGTTGGTAGGCATAATTTGAGATATGTAAACCCTCAACCCTACTTTGAAAGAATATATTTAAGTGCGAACTGAATGTAATATTGTCAGACACTGAATAGCATGTTAATTGCAATTCAGTGAAAATATACTATAGTTTATATACTGTATATACCTGTATATAAAATGTAGTTAGCTATACTTTAGAGTGCTTTTCCACCCACTTACATAGGACTTATTGTCATACTGTGAGTTTATGTCATTTCATAAATATTTATAATGTCTTTGAAATATAGTTAAAGTGTGCTGACGATTGCACTGATGGTAAACTAAAATATACTTTTTTTTTACTAAATATACTTCTTAATTATTAAAACATTCTGTGTATTTAAACATATTTTAATATAATAATAATATAATTATTAATATATTATTAAATATTTTACATTTAAATGCAATATTGAATAACACACTACAGTTAAAATTATAATCTAGTACTTTACATGTGCTTTAGTCAACACATCAAAATAAGCGCACTTTAAAGCATAACAATAAATGATTAAAATGTAATGATTGAAAATGTACTTTAAAGTAAAACTTTTAATTTGACATCAAATAAATTACAATTTAATTACAAAGTGCACTTTTTGTAAAAATGTACTTAAAAACATACTCATAAAAGCGAACTCTCTTTATGTTCACTTGAGTGGCCTTTTATTTCAGTAATATTACCTTAAAGTACAGATTTTAAAAATATTTACTTTTAAGATTTGAAGTACACTACAAGTGCACATTCAATACAATTTAGCACACTCACAAAGGAATAAGCGTGACTGTCAGGTAAAAAAATTGTCAGTGCATTCAGCAGTACATTTTAGCCATATTTCAAAGATGAATTATTAAATTACATATGAAGACATGCTTAAGTCCAAAAGAGTTGCATTACTAATTGCATTAGTGTCTGAAAACATTACATTCGTGTTGTACTTAAATATATCATTTTAAAGTATGTTATTGCTGGAATAACATATTTTATATACAACATATTTCTTAATTCTCCAGTGATGCACGTATATAGTTGAATATTGTTAGTGGACCAATTAAACTAATGAGAGTGTAAAAAGTGATTAAAGCTCCTGTAGTTATAGAAACATCTATTTAACAGATCTCATTTGCTGTAATTACTTTTATGAGCAAACGAAAAGCTCTTCTTTTTCTCTGCCAAACTTTGTCCGGCTATAGTGACGGATTCTGCATGACCTTTTTTGGCGTTGTTCAGACGTCCCCCTCAGACAGTGGACTGTTATTCCTCTCTGATGCATAATCAAGTGTGCTGCCGAGTGTCCAAACAGGATGTGCTGTCTTTAGCAGAGGAACAGAGGGGATTCTTTCTCTGCCTTTCCTTCTCTCTCTTTCTCTCTGGACTGAACAGCCTTCAATCTGAAGCAATGAGAACATATTACTAGACCCGTGTGGAATCTGCACCCGCCGAGTAGCTTGACTGTAGTTTAACTACTTGAAATTACGAGTGGCTTGTAGCTTGCCATCTTTGTTAAGGATGTTTCTGCTTTACACGAGTCATTTGCTATCTATGCACATCCTCAGGATAAAAGGTCATCCAGACAGTGATGGTGGACAGTGATGCTTACAATATGTGACTGTACAACATGTACCTAAAATGGAAATTAAATGATCTTTTAAAAGATTTACTGTCTGCAAGATACGCTCACATAAATACAACCTGATTTATGTACTTGTACAAGGAAAATGTAGGAATGTAATTGCTACACTCTAAAAAATGCTGGGTTAAATACAACCCAGTGCTGGGTAAAATAGAGACAAACCCAGCAATTGGGTTGTTTTGCCCCAGCAGTTTGATTAAATGTTTAACCCAACCTTCTGGGTAGTAACCCAACCGCTGGGTCAAAACAACCCAATTGCTGGGTTTGTCCCTATTTTACCCAGCACTGGGTTGTATTTAACCCAGCATTTTTTAGAGTGTAGTGGACAAAAATGAGCAGCAATTTATTACAAAAGAACAAAAAGCACAAATCCTCTTGAAATGAACTGTTTTGCTGTCATTGCTAAATGGAGTTGGTGTGATTTCAAATGTGAGCAGAAGTGGGTGTACTAAAAACACTTCACGACATTTTTATGTAGACACATATGCACAAGTCTGCAACAACATGTCATACTCTTGCTCCAGGCATTTGTATGGCAGACTTCCATTGACAGATTGAGAGGTCTGGAAGACTCAGTCTGACCTGTTGTTCCAGCTCACTTATATCACAAGTTCAGTCAGACTTAAAAACTCTACTGTTTGCACAATAACGTCATTTAAACATGTTTACATTAAGATGTGATCACTATGATCAGATCAAGAAGATCGAAAAATCACCCAATCAGAAAACAGCTTGTTTAGATTTGTCCACGTCCAATAGCTTTTGTATTCAGATTAGTGATCAAGTGGATGCAAACCTTCCCATTAAAAAGAAGTGTGCTTAATTGTATTCAATGTGCACTTGTAGTGTACTTAAAATATAATATTAATGAAATAAAAGACCACTTAAGTGTACTTAAAGTGAGTTCACATTTACTTTGAATATGTTACACTTAAATACATTTATAAAATGCACATTGTAACAATGGTAAATTAAAAGTTTTACTTCAAAGTACATTTTAAACAATTATACTTTAATATTTTTTTTGTCATGTTTTAAAGAAGTACACTTATTTTGATGTGTTGGCTAACATATTAAAGCACATGTAAAGTACTTGATTAAAATTTTAACTGTAGTGCATTACATTTTTTTACATTTAAAGTCTATATTTTGTATACATAAAAATATATTTTAAATGTACTAAATTGCATCTTCATCATTACAAACCTGTAATCACAAATATATTTAAATACATGAAATACAAGTTTCAATAGAAATTGCATTTAAACTGTTTAATTTACTATTAATGTTTGTCGGTGCATTCAGCAGTACATTTTAACCATATTTCAAAGATTAATTATTAAACTACATATGAAGACATGCTTAAGTCCAAAAAAGCACGCTAAAGAGCAACTAATCGCGTTAGTGTCTGAAAACATGACATTCATTTTGTACTTAAATATATCATTTTAAAGTATGTTCTTTCTGGAAGTACTCTTTTTGCGCATTTTTCTTTCACAGGGGTGCATTCACAAGAAAAAAGAAAAACGTTCATGTGGAGATGTGGGTCTACGAGTAGCATATTCGTGTGCTTGAATGGTTTATCAGTGAATACCATGGAATACCATGGCACATTTATTTTAAAAAAGTGGTACTTTACTTTGTGAATGTAATGTGGTTATCACCTTTATATGTTAAATGACAACTTAAGCACATTTAATCTAACTTATTTTTTTGTTTTTGTTTTTTCTAGCAAGAACGGGTGTCAAGGTAAGCTGCTTTATTCCTTGTCTAAAAACATTATTTATTAATTTGCTTCTGTTTACTGAAAGATAAATTCATAAAAACTGGTATGATCAACACTTACTTGATGAATGATGTTAAAAGCAGATCAGACTCTAGTGGTGTGGAGTCTCCGTCAGACAGACTGTCAGCCCGGACCAGCACATACACACGCAGAGAGAACAGACTCGCCTCTCTGAGCAAAACAGAGGACGACTCGGCCAGCAAGGACTATAAGAAGGTCAGGATAACTTTGATTAATAAAATACTTACTGTGTGTTCATTACATTAGATATTCTCACTTAAATACTATCACCAGAGACAAGGGTATTTTATGGCATGGACAGTATATATATATATATATATATATATATATATATATATATATATATATATATATATATATATATATATATACTGTATATACAGTCCAAATCTAGTAAAATCAAAATACAGTAGTACATATATCTAAATGCCAATGTGTTTATCCAGTGTAGACCATTAGCGGTCTTCTGTTTAAAAGCGACAGGAAAGCAGCTCCCAGTGGAGATGCTAAATTAGTCAGATGAACTCGACCCTGGTTTGTTTCACTTTATCAGCTGTATGAGGACGCACTGACTGAGAATGAGAAGCTGAAGTCTCGACTGCAGGACAGCAAACAGGAGCTCACCAAAATCCGCTCACAGCTTGACAGAGTCACACAGGTGAGAAAACAATCCCAGCAGATGAGGAGAGAGATTTTCTGTGGCCTGAATCATCCGTATGACCATCATCCGCCAAGAGGAGAGACCTGTGTTAAAAATAATAGCACAAACCAGCTCTCTGAAAACAATCAGGCTCCCAAAGGTCTGGCTTTTGGTGTAGCTCACAGCATCTGTAAGGAATTACAGTCTGTGAAAAGCAAGTAATATATCTAGATACTGGTCCAGCAGTAATTGCTTATTAAAACATTCAGCTTTTGTATATATTTTGCATACTTTGAATATGAATTTACAGTGATATTTGATCCCTTTACGGTTTTGTTTCTATGTGCATTTATTCTCTTTTGCTTATTAATCTTTCTATGAATGTTTTTCAGAAGCAGGACAGAATATCAGAGAGGTCCACTGTATTTGAATCAGAGAAAAGGGTATATATGTTATCATCATATAATCATTATTGACACTTTTGTTTTCAGTGTTTCTCTTCAATGTTGGCTAAGATCTTTAACTGATATTCCTCCTCCATGCTCTTCTCATAGTAGCTCATAGTAATTTTTTTCCCTATTGAAAGGTAACTCCGGTTGCGTCGTCATTGATGACTGCTTGGGTATACTCCTGTTTACTCTGTTACTGAAGCCTGATTTGTTAACGTTTGTGTAGTTGCACAAACCAATGGTGCTCGAGGCCGCCGGAAGGGGCAGAGCCAGCTGCTATATAAGTCGGCCCGGAGCGCCATTTAATCAGAATCTTCTCCTTCAGTGACGAGACCGTCTCTTCGATGATACTGCGACAAAGCCGAAGCAAGAAGTAAGAAGCAAGAAGTTCAGCCTGCTCTCCCGCCGTCGAACCAAGCCACTGCAGTGGAAGGAGTTCCCTTGCGGCCATCCGGTGTTGGAAAAGAGCAAATTTTCTGAGCAAATCTCTCAAGCGCGTTGTTTCAAATGTTGCTTCGCGAGTGTAGCTCGTGAAAGGACCCACTGCTCGAAGCTGACGGGCATGAGGAGTGTGTCTGTCTGGGGGTCGTCCACGCAGAGGCTGCACTCACTGAGGCTTCATGTTCTCACCAAGATGCGAGCTTGGATTACGCAGGAACGCTTCCTATCCAGCGAGCAGCGGCAACTTTCAGGCTGGGGACTGCACGTTCCCTGTGGACATTTCAGCACGGAACCAGGATCCGATATCATGTGATAAGGGGCGCACCCCTTCCACGTTCAAAGTCTATGTGGCAGCCATCGCGGTGAATCATTCTCTCGAGGCTGGTCGGAAAATTGGCAGAAACGCCTTGGTCGTTAAGTTTCTTAGAGGCACTCGGCGGTTAAACTCTCCTCGCTCTAGGACGGTGCCGGTATGGGACTTGTGTATAGTCCTGAGAGCTCTTAAGAGCTCCCCCTTTGAGCCGCTTCAAATAGCCGGCTGAAGGGTCATGACACTCAAAACTGAGGCCCTGGTGTCAGTTAAGCATGTAGGGGACTTACAAGCCCTGTCTGTCAGTGCTTCCTGTCTTGAGTTTGGACCCAACGACTGTAAAGTCGTTCTCCAGCCACGCAGCGGTGATGTACCAAAGGTGCTCTCAACTCCGTTTAGAGCCCAGGTCGTTTCTTTTTTAGCCCTCCCTGGAACGGATGGCAAACAACGTCCCAACTTGCTATGCCCTGTCTGGGCACTGAGAGTTTACATGAAGCACTCAGAGTCTTTCAGACAATCAGAGCAGCTTTTGTGTGCTTTGGAGGCCGCTCTAAAGAGCTGCCTGTCACAAAGCAAAGACTATCTCATTGGAAAGTAGATGCGATAGCGCTGGCTTATGCCTCAGCTGGCTTGCAATGCCCTTTAGGTGTGAGGGCCCATTCCACCAGAGGAATGGCCTCCTCTTGGGCCTGGTCCAGTGGAATCTCTATTGGGGAGATTTGTGCAGCCGCCGGCTGGTCGTCGCCGCCTACCTTTATTAGATTCTACAATTTGGACATCCCTGGACATCTAGTCCCTTCATACGCCGGGGCCAAGGCGAGAAGGATGCAGCCGCTAGAAGAAGCCGGCGCCCCTCGCACCCCGTACTTGAGAGGGGAGCGTGTGCGGCCGTCAGACTCCGCCCCTTATCTGGACCCTTCCTTCCTGATCACTGCCCTTCCCTGCACGAAGCCTGCAGCACAACGAGGACACCAGATCCCCTGTTTTATTTTTGGACACTTGATTCCCCTTTTTTTCCTGGACACTTTGTTTATTTTGGTTAATAAAAACCTCTCCGAGGCCTGACGCCACACCCACTGTGTCTGCCGTGTGCTCCTCCCATGACAGTATTAAAAATATGAATTATGTATATAAAAAATTTTTTTTTATAGATTATTTTAAAAATTTGCAATCGTTTTTATTATTTTTTTTGTGATTTTATAATAAAAAAAATTCAAAAAATTATATATATATA